AAGAAATTTTTGTATCAAAGGACGTGTTTCCAGACCCGCCTCTAGTACGACGTTGATTGGCTCGATTAGTCTTAGCATTGTACTATAGAATTCTGGAGAATATGTTGGTGATGTCATTTTAAGAACCTAAAAGAAAGACGCGTTAGATACAATTACCAACTCGAGAACATCAAAACAATTTACTTGCCTTAGTGACAAAATAGCTGACTAATTTTTCGTCCAATTTGTTTATATTTTTCTCGATGTACATCAACACCTGCATCACGAACCCAGTTGAAATCATGAATATCATACGATCCAACAACTGTTTCTTCAAAGCTGTCTGTTAAATGGGTTCAAGAACTTAGCAGAATTTGAAACCGAACATGACTCCTGAAAATTGCAATCAAAAAAACGTACCATAACCTCTGGAGTGAGTTTATGACCTGCCTCCAGGTCCGCCTTGTACGCATTAAAAACGTGTCCCCGTTGATACGGGTGTCTAAATGCGATCTTTTATTTTTAAGGACAAAAGCTCGTTACATATTCGCGTATACCAAAAACAAAAAAAAAACGAGAACCACCATAACAATAGTAATAATAATCAACCTCTTCCAAGATCCAATGTGGTATAGGTACTTCGTTCGCTTTAAAATGTTTCTCATAGAATGAAGTTTCTCTCAGCAGATATTTTATCCAAAAAATTGTGGCCATTGACGCAATTGGCGTACTGAGTTACAAGTAATTTAGGCGTTAGTAACATCCTCTAAACAGTAAGAATAAACGGATCTTGATGCACTTACTCGATATATACTAATAGATCTGGAACGATCGAATTAAATTCTGAACCCGTAGCGCTTTTTTTTGACAACGTGCCCGCTAGTTTTTTAAGTGTCTCAAATGTTGTGTTGACTTTGCTGCTGTCAATCTACGGAATTTGAACATTAAAGTCTCGAAATTAGTAAATCCGGCAGGTGAGAAGCCATATGAAGACGACATACCTCTCCATTTACTGTTTCCTTTGCAGATGAAGCGAAAGCCGCAAGATATAGATATTTTTCCTTGAGATCCCATTTAATGTTTTTGTTTTGATCAGATGGCACAAATACATTGTTTAAGAGCCAATCTTAAAACAAAAAGTAAAATGCAAATTAATATGGAATGGAAAGCAAAAATATCATTGACGTGTGGTCACTAATGGAATTTTCTAAATACATAGTAATTCAGAGTCCCGCAAATATATAGGTGAGGGTGGTGATTCCTTTTGGTAATGCTTGTATAGCTAACAATAACAATAAGAATGTTATCTAACAATATTTGGTTAATCAACGTGTAACAATCGAAAAACAGTTTAATTTAATTACCGCGACCACATCTCCAGGGGTAGGAGGAATGTATAAGATCGACGAACTAATAAAACTTGGTGGTGCGGCTATTAAGCTTCTTAAATTAGGAATGAGATCTGATCTAAAAATATTAATTAAAAAATGTTAAATGAATGAATTAATCTGAATCATCTTTCTTGAAGAGTGTGATAATTCAATTCACCCTAGTTTATTAACTCCCTTCTCTAATTCCTTGGACAATCTTCTTAATGGATATCCCTTTGGCTCTTGAGACAACCTCTTGATCAAAGTTTGAACAAATAGATAAGAATGTGGATGCAGACTGGCAGTTCGCTACGTATTGGAGAAACAAGTTTTTACTGAATAAGATACTGATTGCGAACAATAAATTTACGTTTATTATCGGTTATACTGACAATTAAATCTGGCAAATGTTTTTGCACCCCGGCTTCGTCCATTTGGATTAAATTATCAAGTTGATCCAACAAGACCTTAGAATATACTTCTATATATGTCGCTGCTGCTTTGAGGTGCTTGATCTCGCTGATGTAACCTTTTTCTGCAATGCGCTAAAACAAATTAAATCAAATTAATAAATCAAAAGAAAAAATTTCTTTGAATAAAAAAGTAAAAAGTCACCTGAATCAGAAGATTTAAAAAGTAACTTTCGGGATATTTCTCTGACAACTCATAGATGACCTGTCTCCAGTATGGCGATTGAATTAGTGGAAACACTGAATCAAGTGCCTAGATAGTAAGAATATAAGTAATGGTGATGCATATTAATTGCCTTCTAATAACAATATTATTATTAATATTATTATAATTATATTATTGTTATGGACTACGAATACAAATAAACCGGACCTCCGTCGTGGATTTTGCCACTTCATCAATCTTTACAACATCGTATCTCTCCAAAAGCATTTTCTTCAACGCATCTTGACACACTGATTCGGCCTTGGGTTGCGTATCCGAACTAACAAATTCATCATAAAGATCACTAATCAATTGAATCTTTGAAGGTTCGCCATTATAACTGTGGCAAAGAGATCTATAAATTTCGGGTATGTAGTCTAAAGATTTTTCAACAAGCTGTTTGACAAAGTCAATGACATTTGGTTCGAAAATCGCGTCTATAGGATGTGTCAATCGAGAGAAGAGAATCTATTAATAACCAATT